TATATATATATATATATATATATATATATATATATATATATATATATATATATATGCAATTTATATATTATATATGCGCGGTACGTATTGGGGAGCCCTCAATATCAGTGATAGAACTATACTATGACTAAACAGTCCATATGTAACTTAAAATCATATTTTCTTTAAGCATTTTGGGGTTTGATTTTCAATGCACAATTTTTTTTGTACTTGACGCTTGTACTTTATTTTCTGGAATGAAAACCTACAGAATTTTTCGGATTAAATAAAAGTTTTAGAAGTTTATAATTTTTCCCTGAATTTTGGGATGAAGAGTTATTTAACCTATTTATATTACTATTACTATTTATATTACTATTATTATTATATTATATTTATATTACTATTATATTACTATTACAATATAGACAATTGCTCTCTATTTATCTTATGTAAATTCTTTTCATAACGTCTGATAAGCTTAATAACATTATCACTAAACGAAGAAAGAAAATCACAATATTGATACATATTTTTTAATCCAATCTAAGCTTTCGGCTTACATATGCCATTATCAAAGATGACAATTACATTACAATATATTAAGCAATACACGGACAAGACAGTGATGATAGCCTGTTTCTGTTTACATGGAAGATTTCCAAGCAACGACAAACTCGACATACAATAAATAGACAACATTTGTCTATATTATTTAATGAAACATCTATCTATCTATCTATCTATCTATCTATCTATCTATCTATCTATCTATCTCTCTCTATATATATATATATATATATATACACACATATATATATATATGTATTATACACAAACAAACATATATATATACGTATATATATATATATATATATATAATTGTTATAACCTAGAAAGGGTTACTGAATGAAGAATAATCAAAGCGGAGGTTGGAAATGAAATGGTAATCTTTATAACATCAACAAAATACAATACTCGCCAGCGGCGTGAAATAGGTAAACCACTGCTGATGATGGACTACATAGACAGCATATTACCCCCACTTACATTAGTGTCCAATGTATTTATGAGGATTGGGACATACACATTAGTGTTCATAGGTACGGTATATAACAAGGATCCTGTTTAACTATAACTAGCAGTGGAGCCCGGCGTTTCCCGGGGATGTAACAGTAAGAGATAGATCAAAAAAGATAAAGACTGAAAAATAAAATTGACAAAGATTATTGTTTAAGGTTGACGGAACGCATGTCTTAATTAGTTTTTTTTTTTTTTTTTTTACGAATTGGTCAAACCCAAACTCAAAGAAAAACATTGTTTTCAATCGTTATGAGTCTACCGATTGAATAGAATTTTATTATAAACAATTGTCTTGTAAATGGAATTTTTAAAACATTCTGAATGTAAAAATAAAGAAAAAAGTGTGCAAGACAATAAGAAACACTACCTGCCAAAAAAAAAGTGAAGTTTTGTTGAAGTCGGTTGAAAAATGTAGGAAATCCGATCCAATATATAAACGTACAGACACACACACACACACAAACAACCTGGGTTTTATCATAAGTAAGATAATACTTTCAGAATTCTTTCCTTATGAATCACTTTCTGTCGACTCTAAGTTGATTTTTCATTGCTATTTTCAGGCAGAAATCTCCTACTTTGATGAAGGACCTGTTGTACATGTGACTGAACTTGAAGTTGACTGGGGTACCATCTTAGTCCTTTCTGATACCAGTCGTGAAGTCACTCCATGAAATGAATCTCCCATTGTGGCTAATTTCACATCTAATATGGTATATAGCCGAAGTGACGCCTGCCCTATTTATATTTGAGTGTGTGTTTGTGGTTACCTGTGATTGTGTGACAACCAAACATTCTGTTTTCTTACAACATACTAAAATTTAGCTCAGTGTATAGCGGCTCGGATTGAGTAATCGGAGAGCCGAGTTCGAATTCCAGTCGAATCCATTACCTGCAAATACCCTTGGGAAAGGTGCGAATCCTCTTCTTCTCCATTCGCCCCCGCCCAGTTATGGGTAAATAGCAGAACAGACCGGGCTCTATAGCCTTGGATGGAAACTGGTTTACCGCAGAAAGAAATGGCAACCTACTGCGGAGAAAAAATTTGCTTCGTCAATCATGTATCGAAAGATACATGATCGCCTAAGCCTGTATCACGCATGACACATAACTGAATTGGACAGCAGAGTTCGAATTCCAGTCGAATCCATTACATTCACTTACGTGCTAATACCCTTTGGAAAGGGATGAATCCTCTTCTCCCCCCCCCAGCTATGGATAAATAACAGGACAGACCGTGTCCACTGTAGAAAGAAATGGCAACCTACCGCAGGAAAAAAAATCAGCCTCGTCAGTCATGTATCGAAAGATACATGATCGCCTAAACGTGTCTCACGCATGGCACATAAGTGGCTGTTATTCCTACACCTACCCCATTCGACCACTTCATCATCATCGACCCTCCTGGAAGTGCTCACCAATTTAAATAAGCAATAAAGCCCAGCCCTAGAGTAGAGTTTCATCGATTGAGGCCAAGAGGACAAATTAAATCTGTTCAGTGCTCAGATTCAGTGACGAATTTCAGCTCCACGCCC